ATCGCTGGGCTGGGTGGATGTGAATGAGGTCCGCATGTGGTCCAATTTGGAACGTTTTGTATCTGAAGTCCCGCCTGCGGCTCTCTAACCTTTCTCCAACCTCGTTAACTGGTCTTTTTTGGCTTTGTCTGACCCGGCTATCAAATTGTATTTGACTTTCCAAATCTGTTTTTGGAATGGGCAGTTGCTCTAAGTGTCTGACTGACAGGCTCAAGAGGTCCTTTCCTTTCCCGTTCCAAGTTCACCGCATTATCTCGAGTGCTGCGTGCTAATGTGCAAAAACTGTCCGTGCTGAGCAACTTCAACTTTTGCACAACCACTTCAATAAAAAAAAAAATAAGGGGGAAAAATTCGACTCGAATCCTTGGGAAACTTGCAAGTGTTTTCCCATACCCTCATATGTGACATTGCTGCTCACCTTATTTATTTATTTCCATGCCCAAATGACACGAATTTGTCATCTTGGTACAGTCTCGAACATGCTGTTAAAACCACCACCCCTTCTCCATCTGACACTCACATATGTCGCTGTTTGCCCAACCACACCCACCAAAAAATGCCTCAGGGCGGTGGTTTGTTTGCTCAGCGGCTGAAAAGTTCAATTAGAAAAAAAGTTACGAAATGCTTATAATTAAGTTTCACTTTTTCGTATGTAAATGTGCCGCCCTTTGTGTAATTGGAATTAAATATTCTTTATTGGACGACTTGTGAGCACCCGGGGCTAAGACCCACAACCTGACCCAGTGCCCCAAATAAAAGTTCCCACTCCTTTATGTTTTTTTACTCTTGAGTTTCAAATGAAATGGAAAATCTTTTAAAAATTTAATACTCGCTTAAAAAATGGTTGATTTTTAGAATTCCTACGTTTGTTTACTACTCTTTCAAGCAAGTCATATACATAAGTTTACTCCTCCTAATGTCTTAAACTTTTTAAAATTTTTTTTTTAAATCGCATTATTCCATTTTTGCTACCAGTCTCCAAAATTAATAATTGATAATTGATAGAAGCGGAAGGAAATGGACGACGTCTGCTTGATTTTGCAATAATTTTCTATTTGTGTTATGATGTTTCAACAGCTTGTTGATAATTTTTAATAAATATTGAGCACGGGTTCAAGGGCCCGATTTTCATGAGGGTTGCTTAGGCATCTATGCAAATTTCCGAATAATAATTTTTGCACAAAGTGAAAGTCATCATTTGCTCACCTCACGTGCGCGATTATTGCTTGGAAAGAAAAGACCGTGATGATGATTATTATCGCGACAGTTTTTCCATTACAGAGCGATTATGCTGATGGCATATACAGGACCTTGGGCACTGGGCTTACTTTTTATTTATTCTTAATTTAGTAGTCACGTGCGCGGAACGACTTCATTGTTATTTGCATGTGTACAGTCGCGTCCTTACATAACCTTTTCTTAAGATAATTGGTTGCATATTTATGGGGATATATAGCATCTACTTCTAGTGTACACACATATACATTCTACGCCCACCTAGTTATATAAGGTTGTAAAGTATTAAAAATGTTCTAATTATGTAATTAGTTGTTTTTTAAAGGAAAAGACTCTGCATTTATACTCTTTATTGCTTTTCTTATCAAAGAATAACATCTACAAAAGTCACAAGAAACTTGACATCATTTTATTTTTAAGCACGTTGTTTATTGATGTATCGCAGTTTTTGATAGCTTAATGTCTTCTTCGACGATTGGTACGAATTCTTCTTCGCCAAAAGTGATATGTTCGTCTGCGTACTCCTAGACTCGATCTATTTAGTCGGTTTTTCGTTGATAAATCTGCCTGTTAATATGAACATCAATACAATTTGTTTACTTATTTAATTAACGTTCATTTAAATTTACCTCTAAATAATTGTTTGGAAAAGTTGTAGTTAGTTTACCATTGTCTTTCTAAAAAAAATTCAGTTATTATAACTTATCATAACATCTAATTATGTACAATGGCTTTAAAAATTCACCTTAGCTTTAAACACTAAAACTGGTTGCACAGTGTTTATGTTGTGTGTACTTCTTCCAATTACATTTCGGTTGGGGTAGAAGTTCTCCTATTGCAAGAATTATATTTATGTTATTAAGTTATTATTTTATTACACATCCTTACCTTAATGGACTGCATTTTCTGTCCCTCAGTCATTAAAAATCCGCTGAATAAAAACAGCATCAGACAACTTTGCATTCTGACCGATCCCCTTGAGTTACACATTGCGATTGATAGTAATATATCAGCTTCTGTAGCTCATAAAACACGCATATTCTGAATAAACGAGAATGCAGTTCAGATATATTCTTGGTGGGGATTATTTCAATATGTCTAGCCATTCAAACCGCTATTCTGATAAGCAGAGAGTGCCCCCTCTGTTTTTCTTGCCTCTGCGGACAATCCATTAACTAATGAAAGCGATCCGGATACTTTGCCATTTTTATTTCCATTTATTTATATACACTCACATTTTCCTCTTTTTCGCATTTTAATTTCATTGAGTTTGTACAACAATTTGGCCCAAATGCTAGCAGTTACCCTTGCTCAGTTCTCGATCTGGTGGTCTAGGGGGTGAACAAAGCCCTCGTCCTCATGCAAAAATTCAAAGGACCCAAGATATGTGTGCTGAGACGCACTTGGCAGTGACATTTAATGGCATGTCAACGTCTGTGTCGCACGTTGGCATTTATTGATACGCCGCTCAGTTAACAAGTCGATAAAGTTTTATAGTCGAGGGCCTCAGCTGCCGATAAATGGGAATGGAAATGCAATTGCCAATGTCATGAGGGGGAAAACAAAGCATCCGGACAATGGTTCTACCTGGAAAACCCTTCCTTGGCCATATGGCTAATTTTCTAGCTTGCCTTCTAATTTCCCACTTTTAAAAACAAACTTATCACAAGAACCAGCCAAATGCAATTATCAAAGTTTGGAGGGTTGCTGTTGGCAAATTGATTAGAAGGCTTTTCCTCTTTTCACTCTTTTGTACTTCGAGCCCCTGATAAAGTAGCTCAAATTGACTTTATAATTGGCGAGTGGGCGTGGCCATAAACGTATTACTCCGCCTATTTGGCCATTCAATGCCTGTGCGGTCGCCAGTTGGTCGATGTTTTGATTGACAAGGGAACTGCCTGCTCGCCAGATGTGCAGCTTCGTTTTAGAGCTAATAAAGTTTTAAGAAAAACTGATTAATGTTCTCTGTTATAGTTTTACGAACTTCACTCTCATTCTCAATATTCTTCGTTGAGGGTTTTTATAAAATTATTTATTATTTAAAGTTAAGCAAAATGTTGTTGTACCAGATCCATTTAATTTTTTAAATATAAAAAAAAAGCTAAAATGGATGAAATTAAGATAGGCGTCTGTAAAAGTTGTAATATTCTTACCAAAAACATACATAAACATTTATCAAAATTTATGAAAAATGCATTTGACGTATTTGAATAGATTTGTCAAACTAAAACTAAAATGTTTTAAAATTAAGATAAACATGAGTAAAAGTTGTATTATTCTGACCAAGTACATGTATCCAAAGAAATATCAATAATACACTTTACTTATTTGAAAAGATTTGTTTTTATTTTTTTAAGCAAAATACATCTATAGAGTGTAAAAACTTTAATCATCAAAATAATGTATCGAAATATATTTCAATAATTGAAGAACCATTGGTGTTTACTTGAGTTAAATGAAAAGGTTTTCATACTGCAAACCGGTTATCATTTCACGCAGAGTCTTGCTGTCCGTTCCGCGAAAAGCCCTCCGTTTCAATGTCACACATGTTTGCCAATTCCCATATCTATGGGTCCGAGTTTGGGTGTGTATCAGAGAGTGGGTATGTGGTTCAAGGTTAACAAAAATCGCCAAAAAGCCGATAATGAGCTGCTCAAGCAAGCATATGTATGAATGGGTGTCGGACTGGGACTGGGACGACTGGCGCCTCCAAGTCTTGGATCTGGTTTTTGAACAGGTGTCGTCGCCAGCTGATAAACATCATGAATATTAATGCACACACATCATAAACTCCGATGAAGGGGCGAGCATTAAATCAAATGCAGCCCGTCAAAGAGTCAAGTTCACTTTCACTCCATGACGCACTCGCCGCTGATGATGATGAGCTGTCCCCCAACCCCCTTAATTTTTGGTTTTCGGCTGCTCGTTTTTTTTAATTTTCTTTTGGCTTTGGCCAATTTTGGTCAGTGGCCCACTGGCACTCGGCCACAACACCTGCGCACCGCATACAAATGGCAAATGGAGCGGCTCGTTTCTGGGACTCGGGCTATTTTCGGATCACACGGAGGCCTGATGAATGGCCTGGCATCGATTTGGAGTCCGATTTGGATGAGTTTTGGTTGGGCTTGTGGACTCGGCTTGCTTTTTGGCAGACATTGCATCACTGGGCAGTCAGTTGTACAAATTGCTTTATTTTTATTTCTTTTGGCCACGTTTTTTGAGTGCACGCGAATGGCGAGTGAGAAAGCCAAGTGTGGCAATCAATGACGACATCAAAGCCGAAGACCACTGCACCAGCGGGTTTGACCAGCTGGTGGAGTTACTAAAACAGCTGATTTTCACTGATAAAGCGGCAAAGTGTGCACTCAAAAAAAACAACAAGACGCACCTTAGAACAAAATCCTTAAAAATGAATTAGAATAAATGGTAAACTTAAATCGGAATATTAATTTAAATTTTAAGTACCAATTTATGAAAACAAGCTCAAATAAATTTAGGTTTACCGAGAAAAATAATAAAATTTTCAAGTGCCAGAAAGCTAATATAAATTTAATTGATCATTTATTTTGGGACTTCCAGAGCCCAATTTTAACTACCATGTTTTTATATGCAGATAAGGCTTAATCTGAAATTATTTTTCGTTTGCTGATAATTTTAATTAAATCACTTGATGCATTTTTAATTTCCCGTATGAGTCAGTGGTAATTATTAGCTACAACTTTTCTTTCCCCCTCTCCAATTTCAAATAAACTCAACAGAAGGGGTAAATATTCAATAGTTTATTTAAATAGAAACATGTTTTTCAGACTTTTGTTAGCGCACACTCGCACATTCACTCATATCTCGCACTCACTCACTCACACGCTTAACCAAATAGTTGATGGCTGTTAGGTAATTAGCAAAATATGTACAAATATACGGGGGATGGCGGTAAATAGATCTGAATCGGATCAGAACAGCTGCCCCGCCCCCCTGCCGCCCACCTCAATTAGGCGCCAATTGTTCTTCCCCCGAACAAAAAAATCTGACGTCAAACCGATTTTGCCTGCGTCTGTTGACTCTTTTTCTTTTGCTGGATAACACTCTCGATCCAATCCGTATATTCGGCCACGTTAGTATAAACGGCGGGCTTCCCGGCCATTCCGCACTGGGTAAATCCGTAGCTGACCACGCCGTAGGCCACCCACCGGGAGTGCTGGCGATCGAAGTACATCAGAGGTCCTCCGGAATCGCCGGCACACGTGTCCTTGGCGAACTCCCCGCCGGCACAGATTTGCTTGGGCCCCAATCGCACCCCGAATCCGTCCAGGATCTTGGTGCAGTTCTCATTGGAGACATACGGAATGCGCAGCTTCAGTTTTATGGGACTGTGGATGTTGATGAAGTACTTGTTGACTGCAAAGTGGAGAATATGTTTTCAATTAAGAGATAGTTAAGGTCTATTTTAAAATGATTTATAACTACATTTTTTTATATATAGCTGCGGAAAATGTCATCCTAAGATACTAAGTAAAAAATAGCAATTTCTTTAACAGCTTTAGCTTTAACAGATTTATAATTTGCTTACATAAACAAAACATATTTCATAATTTTATGTAACAACTTTCATTAGACATAGTTAAAAAAGATAAAATAAACCCACAGTATAGAATTTTAATGCACCAGACATTCTTTTCCTTATTGAATAAATTAAGTGAAAACCACATAAGCCTCTGTGGAAAAACCCATGTGTTTATGAAAACTTCCATTAAAAACCGGTAAACAAAATCATTTAGCAATATTTTTTTTCTTTGCTCAATCAAGCCTTCATTGTTTTATATAAAAACAAACAAACAAACTAAAGAAAACTAAGAAAAACATAACTTAGCTTTAATGAGCATAAACAACAAGTCTCTTTAAAAAAAAAAACAAATATAGGATAAGGCACTATAAATTGCTTAATACTCACATAAATCCGTGCGCCCCCAACCGGAAACGGAGAACATCTGACCCTCCGCCAAAGTCAGAGGCTCGGACTTATTGGGCAGACAAATGGGCATGACAAAGTGGGTGAAGGATACTGGGTGCTTCAGCCGGATAATAGCAATGTCATTGTATTTATAGTTGGAGAACTCCTTGTATTCCGGATGCACATGGATCTTTTCGTAGCCAATATCCAAGGCGGCATCTGCGCAGCTCAAATAATTCGGTTCCTCAATGCAATCGGGTTCTGTTTTTACATTGAACTCGCCCAAGCGCACATGCTTTCTAATAGAGTATTGAAATCTTATAGAGATCATGTGATATAGGTTAACTCAACTTACAATCCCCGTCGATCACGAACTCCCTCGCCTTGAACACAATGAGCGGCTGTTAGGATATGACGATCATCGATCAGGGCTCCACTGCAGCCATAGTCATCTAAGAAATATTGGAAAAAATGTTAAGGATTAATGGTAAATAATTCAAGTAATATATGTATATTTAATATATCTAATTCTACTTTGTGGGCTAGTGTAATAAAGTCTTACAATGAAAATTTGTTTGTAATATTCAATTGGGAAGTATAACTCTGCCCAAAGAGCACGAAATAAATAAATTAATTACACAAAACAATCGAAGTTCTAAATAGATAGAGACGACCAATTAATTTCAAATAAATTACTAATTAGAATATTAAGAATATTAAGAAGCTAATACACATTTAAAACAAACAAAGTACATAAATTTTAAGATAGAGAAGCATAACTTCTGTGTAACCTTATGGCACTTTGGGAATGTATTTAATGGTATACATTTCGGTTATATTTCATTTTGAGAATCAAATTCTAGGACTCACTTGAGTTATAAACGAGCAAGGCTAGCCAGGGAAACTCATCCAGTTCGGCGATTTCCCCTCCGTAAATTCGGTTAGTGACTTGTTTGCCACACTCGTTCAACAGATTAAATCCGGAGCTGGGTTCCACGGTTTGGATGCGTCGCTTCAGTTTTTTTCGCTTGAAGCGAGCGGTTACGTCCAGAAATCTGCGATACTCAAACTTGGAGAACTGCAGCACGGGAAATAGGTAATCCTGACCATTTGCCGGGCAGCAGACAAGAGATTCATAGGTTCCCTCCGGCTCCACCTCCGCCACTTGCTGCTCCACCTCACATTGCACTTTCTTCAGGAAATTCACCTTCTCCGCCGGCAGATTGGTGGCATTTCTCACTTGAAGATACGCCGCACATCTGCTGACCTCCAGGCAAACTCCCCTTTTGGCTTCATTGGGTATATCGCACTCCTGCCGGATCTCGGCCAGTGTCAAGAAGCGGTAGAAACAGCCGAAGAATATCCATAATCGAAAGACCGAACGAAGCATAGGTACAAGTATCTATATGATCTGGAATCACAGATACAATCTACGAGCGATCGTGTTGGCAAGAAGAAGCGGCGGCAAAGGCTTACGAACCGAAACTGAATGGCAACGCAGTTTGTGTAAGCAGAGTGCCAAAAACAAAAAAAAAACAAAAAGGAAAGATAAAACAACATAAACGAAGCGCAAAACCGAAGACCCCGAAAAGTCGGAAGAGCCGAAGACGGCCAGGTCTTTAAAGCTCCAACTCAGGTGTCAACAAATGAGCCCGCCCCCGCCCCATTTAGGCGGTGAAAAACGAGTCCAAAAGTGCAGTGGTCGGCAGATCGACCGAACGATTGATCGTCGATCGTCCGGATGGTCCGGTTATAATATATTGCATAACCAACTCAGCTGGCCAGCTGGTTTCACTTTCGTTGAAGGTGAGAGAGTGTCTTGGCCAAAGCTCTGGCCCCGAAAACGTGTTGCCCACTTTTAGGTGGCTGGTGGTGCCAAAGCTCACGCTCTATCACTTGGTTTTGGCCAAAGTCCATGGCTCAAAAACACCTGCCAATACCGGAAGTTTTCTTGTGGTTTTCTGCCGGCTTTTACGGCGGCCAATTAAAACGCGGTGGCAATGTCATTTTGGGCTGGCGATTGTTTGCGGCGCCGTATTCTGCTGGGAAATCCAAAGGTTTTTCGGAGGTCAACCACCTTGTAGTTAAATCAATACAACAGTCAAATATTATGAAATATATACTAATGTTTGTTTTTTTTTTTAAATGTTTGTTTCTAATCGCAATTATTTCTCAGGTGAACTTGACTTAGAGTGACTTCGTTGATCTTGATAACTCAAGATTTGTATTGTTTTGTTTGCAAACAATGTGAACAGCTGCGTTCATGAAAATAGTATTAGCTTATGAAATGGCAATCAAAACTAGTTATTTTTTCATTAAGTTTATGCTAAAAACTAATATGTGTGTATTTTTTTAGTACCTTAAAACTTAAATGCTTATCGTTGATATTGATATTTTTAAATTTTTTATTGGTTTTTTTTGTGTACATAAATGTGTAGAATATATACAAAGCAGTACCTAAAACTTTCCGTTCTTTTTGTGGTTAAGAAATATTAATACTATTAATACATATGAATGGAAAGTGTTATTCTTTGACTAACTCCTAAGGCCTCATTTTTTCTTTGATCCAATAGTCGTAAGAAGCCACTTTTGTGTAGACACCCGGCCAATTAGCCAAGCCGCAGTTGTAGCCAAAGGACACAATTCCCTGAAGGACCCAAACACCTTGATGGTAAGACATCAATGGACCGCCGGAATCCCCTTCGCAGCTATCTGCATGCTTTTGTCCTCCGGCGCAAATCTGACTATCTTTCAGGGCGATGTGTTGCTCAAAATATCTAGCCTTACATCTTATGTTATTCCAATATCCGACCTCCACTTTAAGTTTCGTGGGACTTGATTGACCATTCAGAGTGCGACCCCATCCTGACACATACAGCAGCTGACCGTCTCGCATACTCATTCCCATATTGCCCACAGTGGAGGGCAGACAAATAGGTCGAATTGTGGCCGAATAGTCAACCTTACTCTCCAATCGGATAAGGGCAATGTCGTTTAAGAAATTATATCCGTCGGTATAATTTTCGTGAACGTGGATCTCCTCGATGGCCATCGATATACTATCTTTTGCGGTACGAGTGTCATGCACGCCCAATTTCACAGATACACTGAAACACAAAAAGATAATATTATTGACAGCAATTACAAAAAACAAACTCTGCTTCTTACAGTCTTCCGATTCCTAAAATATATCTTCCAGTTACACAGTGGGCTGCTGTTAAGACGTATCGATGATTAATCAGCGATCCCGCACACTTGTGTACCAGATTTCCTCCATTTAGCGGACGGTAATATAAGAGTGCCATCCAGGAAAATTCACTGATAACTGTTTTTTTGCCACTCAGGATGTTTAAATTCACGATGTCACCTCCACAGGTATCCTGCAGAGGAAGTACATTAGAAGCTTCGCCATCGTAATCTGAATCCCAAGTACAGCAGAAAAGGGCCTGGTTATTTCTGTCATATCCACAAAATGAGGCCAAAATGAAATGCACTCCCGAATTGGTCGATCTGCTCTTCATTAGAGCCGGACACCAGCTGATATCAACACATTGTCCAGTTCGCTGGTTGGGATTTCGGCATTCCTTATCTTAAAGCGAGATCCAAATATTAAGATACAATCAAGTCAAACAGACTTACTTAAGCCACAAGGGTTTATTACGTTAAACGTTTAAAATATTTTAAGACAAGGTAACTTCAATTTAGCGATTGTCTTCACTTAAGATTAAATAAAACAATCTGCTAGTTTCGCCATCGATTGACGGAATGCAAATCAATTAATTTATCTCTTTTTTCGATTTCTAGTTGTTTTTTTTTGAAGACAGCTTAAAACTTACACTGGGCACGGACGTTCCGGACAATCAGGATGCACAGAAAAACAGCAACGAACACTTTCATTTTCGCTGCGACTGTGATCGATCACTCTCGTCTTCGATCTGGATCTGTTCTAGGTTCCCTAATAAGCTAATCAGTGCTCGAGCTTTTTATAGGCGAGACATCGAGTGCTCCACGGTGCTTGGCTTTCGATCGCAAAGTCTTGATGTCCCATTAAAATAAAACGAGGTACTTTTGTGGGTCAAATTGATAATTTTTTGATTTTATGTTTCTCCATCTCCATCTTTTCGTTTAAAAAACAAAATCACTAAAAATAACAAGAGTAAAAAATATAAAAATAAGTTCTCCTTATCCGTCATAAAACAATTTTGTCTTTGTTATTGGGATAATTAGGTTCGGAATTAATTATAACATAGCTGATCGTCAAAAATGGCTGCTGAAATAACCGTTTTGGTTTTTGCTATAACATACACACGCTCTGGATAATTTATTTTTGCTTTAAAATAAATTAGAGATTCCCTAATAGATCAAAAATTTTGTATGAAGTTCTGAGTAAAAAAATTGTTTATTTTTAGTACTATTTAAGCCATTAAATACCAAAGTAAACCCGCTTATCAAGAGATTGTGGAAATTTTCTTTTATTTATAATTTTATATAGGTATTGTACATAAGATCGGGCATTGCATTGAACAGAAGTGAAGATAGGTGGTTTTGCTTTTATGCTTTTATAAATAAAATAAATCGAATAAATCGTGAAAATATAAATCAATTTTGGGCAAAACACAGAGATTATTCACACACCCAAAAAAAAACTTGAAAGTTTAGTTTTAATAGGCGCGTATTAAAAAAAACACAGAAATTATTTCTACACCAAAAAAAAATGCCAGTTTAGTTATAATAAGTTTGTCTTAAAAATAAAATAACGTCTTAAAAACAAGTATAACTATAAATGTAATATTTAATAATATAACCCCTTTTTTTTTTAGATTTCTATACAGAAGAGTCTGAGACTGTAGTTTAGGCCTTATTTTTAAACCACATAAGTTTTATTTTGATATTTTCATGGTATTAATTTTATACACATCTTATTGATAAATTGTTTATACCCAATTGTTGAAAAATTGAATTGAATTCATGTAAAAAATAGTTCAGTTTCTAAGGCAACATTTTTTTTTGGTGTATGTATATTTATTGTTATAAGATCACAACACGAACTTTGATGGCGATTTCCACTAAGGCCTCATGTTCATCTTGATCCAGCGGTCGTAATAGGCAACGTTCGTGTAGACAGCGGGCCAATTAAGTGCACCGCACTTATAGCCAAAGGACACGATGCCCTCCAGGACCCAAGTATTATCCCGGAACCGCATCAGTGGCCCACCCGAGTCCCCGGTGCAGCTATCATGCTGCTGCTGCTGACCGCCGGCACAAATCTGGCTATCTTCCAATGCGATGTTCTCAGATAAGTATCTCTGACGACAGCGATGTTTGTCATAAAGGTCGACCTTCAGTTTTTGCTTGGTGTCACTTCTGGCGGCGCGCATAGTACGACCCCATCCTGCCACGGTGAAAACCTGGCCCGACTGCCTCACTTCCTCGCCCACAGTCGAGGGCAGGCAAATGGGTTGGATGGTGACCGAATAGGAAACGGGTCCATTTAAACGGATTAACGCAATATCGTGCAAATAATTGTTGGAAACATTGGAGTAACCTTCGTGAACGCGGATCTCCTCGATTTCCAAACGCTTAACTTCAGGACCGCATCTTTTTCCGCTAGCGTTGCAATCAATTGGTGTTCGTGTGTCGTGCTCGCCCAATATCACAGAGACACTAACAAACAAAAAAGAAATCATAAATAAATCAATTAAATAACATAAATTAAGAGTATAAATGCTTACAGAGAGTCCGATATACAATGAGCTGCTGTTAAAACATATCGCTCATTGATTAGCGATCCCGAACAGTTGCTGCTTAAGCCTTTTCCGCTTGGCAAACGATACTCCAACAACACCATCCAGGCAAACTCGCTAACGGCGGTTTCTTTACCGTTCAGGATCCGTGGCAAAATGGCATTCCCCCCACAAGCAGACTGATAAGGCAGACTTTTAGGAATACCACTACTAAAAGGCACGGAAGTGGTCCTATCAAAATCTGTATCTTCAGTGCAACATGCAAGGACCTGTCTATTCTTGCCATATCCACATTGTGTGGCCTGAAGGAACTGACTCTCTGAACGCGTCAAACTTATTTTGTTTATTAAGGACACCAGTGGCGGACACAGACTGACTTCCAAACAATATCCAGTCCGCTGGTTGGGATTTCGGCATCCTCTCACAGCTGTGGGCGAAAAATATTATATTTTTAATTGTATAAAATATTGTTCTCCATTTAAAACAAATATATATATAGATTGAAATGTAAAACAAAGTTTTCAAACACTTTCCAATAGTTTACAGTCTTTATTAATCATTGCTGAGATTAAATAGAAAATAATCTAATCTAATTTTCTAACTGACATAACTTTAATGCACACGCGAATATTTAAATTGTTTTTTATACTTCTTATAAACTTACAATAACCACGGGCCTCACAGACAATCAGAATGCACAAAATAATGGCGGCGGCTAAGTTCATTTTACTGTGACAATCTTTTATTACTGTCGAAAACGTTCTGATTGCAGATTTCGAAAAACTGGGAGCTATGATTAATCTGTGGCTGAGGTTTTTGTATTATCAGCTTCGACTGCACTCAAAGTTATCGATCGAAATGGTTTTATGACCCATTGAGGTTCGAAGATTACCTATTATTATAACAAATAAATATTTAATGCAAAAATTTGTTGATGGCAAAAAGTCGTACTTAACAGAGACAAAGACTTTGGAAAATGAGAGTAATAACAACAATCATGATATATATAACATTTTTATTTATACTTATAAATAATACGTAAGGCTTTTTAATGCTAGTTTAAGAATAGTAAAGATCACAATTTCGGCTTTGAACCTAATGGAAGTTCGCTTTGCTTCTAAGCCCTAACATTCTGCCTGATCCAGATGTCGTAGGCAGCCACGTTCGTGTAAACACCGGGCCAGTCCTTCAGGCCGCACTTGTAGCCAAAGGACACGATGCCCTCGAGGACCCAGGAATCGCCGCGGAATCGCATCAGAGGTCCGCCGGAGTCGCCATCGCAGCTGTCCTGCCGAAATTGTCCGCCGGCACAGAGTTGGGTGGATTCGACGGCGATTTTGATCTGTGAGAATCTCTGGCGACACTTGGCCGGATCCACATAATTGAGCGACACCTTCTGCTTGATGGGACTGCGGGCCATCTTGAGAGTACGTCCCCATCCGGCCACAGTAAATTGTTGGCCCGCTTGTCGCACTTCCGGACCCACAGCCGAGGGCAAGCAAATAGGTCGCACATTGTCCGAATAGCGAACATTTCGCTCCAAGCGAATCAAACCAATGTCGTGCACTTGATTCTTGGTCTGTTCGCTATATCTTTCATGAGCCCGGATCTCCGCGAAGCCCAATCGTTGGACCTCCGGGGCGCAACTTCCTCCGCCGGCTGGGCAATCGACCGCAGTACGTGTGTCATGCTCGCCCAATCTCACGGAGGCACTGAAACAAAATAAGAAAACCATTAATGGGCATTTAAGCCATTAAACACTAGAATTAACACGCTAATTGGTGCTTGGTGCTTGGTCATTGAGAGCGGGACGAATTGAGAACCCGACCGCTAAGTTTGTGAGTCATCAAAACAAGTTAACAAGCGGCAAAACACCTCGCATCTAATAAACATTTTCAAAATTAGTCAAGTCTGGACTTGGGGATTCCTTGGCTCTCGTTTAGTGATTTAGTCCAAGAATGCAGGCAGGTTCGCGGAATTATCACTCAAATACGAGTGAATAAGCCACTTTCGCCCACCCAGTGGAACTGGATTGGAGAGAAGTCTGAATATTCATAATACTGGAACCGGCTGTTGGGCTATTGAACTGCCGCCCATTCATGAATCGGTACGCGTGGTCTATTGTAAGTCCCCTAATACTGTAGTCACAAACATCAACAGTCATTTGTTATGTCGGCATATTCGGAATCTTTTTTAAAATAAATTATAAGTAAGGTGGCTATTAAAATCCCATAACAAAAATCGGTTGTCTATATCTTAGGGACTTCTAAAGAAATAAAAAACGTTTATGTACAGAAAACATTAAAAGTCACTTCCAAATGTTAAAACGCAGTTGCGGTCAAAATAAAAATCCCCTATTCCTTGATTAATATATATGTGGATACTATTGTGGTTAGAGTATATGCAAAACTTTTAGTAGCGGAGAAAACGTTACGAACATGTATTGAGCCGTTTATGATTAAGCTCTTTAAAGTTGTTAAAACAAAACTCTTGCAATTTGTATCTTTGTATCTTGCCTTGCTTCTCAAAAATAAAAATCGCAACGCTACAAAGAATATTTTAACAAATCCTTACCAAAAATCCCCCCTAAACAATATACCTAACTTTATATACTTACAGTGGTCCGATTTCTCGTTCGATCCTTCCAGTTAAACAATGGGCTGCTGTGAGGACATAGCGCTGATTGATTAGGGATCCCGAGCAGCTGGTAGACAAACCCCCCTGGCGATTGCGGTACTCCAACAAAACCATCCATGGAAATTCATTGAGATCAGTATCCTTGCCATCGTAAATTCGGTTCCTGATGGCCACGCCCCCGCAAGTGGGCGGCTGTGGAAGCAGACTAGAGCCATCACCACCAGTCGAAGTGCTTTGCACGAAGGTCCTGTCGCTGGCCTGCTGAGCTCCAAAGCTCCAGGGACGACTCTCCTGCCTGGGGAAAGCAAAACTGTTCGGCCCCTCCTCCTGCCAATCACCTCCGAAGCCATCGTAGTCCGGAAAAGTGGGAGTTCTGCGCTGGTTCCTCACATAACCCGTGTCCTGAGTGCAGCAGAGAAAGGGAAGATTATTGGCTCCCTTGCCACAGGCCGACGACTTGATGAACTGCTTCTGCAGATCGGTCAATCTGTCCTGCTGCAACACAGAATAGAGGGTCTGGCACTCGTTTATGGGCACACAAAGTCCCGTCCTCTGGTTGGGATTCAGGCATCTTGCATCTGCAAACGAGATAAATACATTAATTAATCTGGTTCTCCAGGGGATGCCCCGAAATGCACACGCCTCTTCTGACATTCTTGCGGTTGGATCAAGTCTTCGCAGTTTGATCATGACACACTCAAAGAAATATTGAGATAATCTATTTCGCCTTGCATTTAATTATGAAATGTATTTCCTGACTTTGAAATTTAAAATTTAACTTGTAAAAAATCTTTTAACTCTGGCAGGTTTTAAGGTAAATCAATTATTTTTGTTGCTTAAATATTGCAACTATTTAAATTAGTTTGGCTTGTGTTTCAAATAGTAATATTTAAACTATTATACTATTACATTTTAAAATAAAAATAAAATAATATTGGGAAATAAAATAAAATTCGATTTTACAAAAGAAAATTCACAAAACACGTGCAATTATATCCCCGATTGGCTAAAAAAAAATCCAGTATCATGAACTGTTAATCGCCTGGTAATTATTCAAACTTATTGGGATTTTTATCCTAATTCCTCAAATGCAGTCACATCTTGACCACAAATCACTTGGCTTGGGGCACTGCCCACTTCGACTCTTGGCGCGTGTGCAATGTTCCCGGCCAACAGGTCCAACCGGCTCAATTAGAAGTGCACTTGTGCGCTTTCCCCTTGAATTTGGGGATTTTTCAATGGTCAGTGGGCCGTTTAAAATCCGCTTAACACTCACACTGGGCTCTGGCCTCGTGCGCAATCAGAATGCAAAGAAACACCGCCGCGAACACTTTCATTTTTGCAATTATTTTTAGTAACAATATCTTCCGAGTTGGCTCGCATCCAAATGACCGATAAAACAGACTGTGAGATACCTGGAGTTGGGCCGGGCTTTTTATAGCCGTGGCCTCAGCATCGTTGACTGCGCTCTCGGTTCTCGAGCGTTACTTTAGATCAGGTTTATCAATAAGCGCCACTGTTCTCTGCTCTGCGGTTAAATCAAATTCAAGTGGCTAGTACTATGTATATTTATCTCAAAGATGCGTGTCACTGGGTGACACCGAAGGTTTCAGTTCCAAAATGTTGCTTAGGAAAACCTCTCTTTTTGGGTGCAACGAACTTAGGGATCCAAAGACCTCAAGTCAATGCTGTTGGCTAGGAATTCCAGCCCACGTCATAAACATTTGACCAACAGGAAGCAGTCTAGTTCTACCGGCGTTACTCATCAACCTGGCATGCAATATATGTTCTAAATAAAATCGAATCGCTTTATGACGTGACAAATTCAAGGGTTTACGTTTCTAATTAGGTGCCTGCATCCATTTTGTGGGTTTGCCCGTTTGTCATACATCATCTGCAGAGCCCTGTACTCGTAAATGATTTGTATATGGCAACTATATCATGCAAAATCCACTGGCAGAACAAATTCTGTCATTCCCCGGGACGCCTGGTGGTTTACCAGCTAACAAGGTTCTGTCCGGTGTCGTCTACACATGTAAACCAGTTCCTAATGCGAAGAAGATTCTGAAAAATTTCCATAAGCACGGGGAAAAGGAATGAAAGTAAGAAGACAAGAAAAATTATATTAATTTCCAGTTAATATAACAAAACTAATAATGGTAACTCCCTGATTAAGTTCTGAAATTTGTTTCTAAAAATTGTTACTTATTACCCTTTCTCTGTGCAGCTTTAAATGAGCTTCGAATTGGTTGTTTCTAAAGGAATATCTGGCAACAACAATCTTTGTGGTATTTAAGAGTCAGTTGCTAAACGGAAATAACCACGGGATACATTTCGGACATTTGATACTTTTATCCATTTGATTTCAAAGGCTGAAAAACCACCGCAAACCCTTTAATTTCCTGACATTTCCCTTTCGTTTACGGGTTGTTAACGGGATCAACATGTTACCGCAAAAAGGGTTGAGCAAACGGCAAAGTTGAAACGCAGCACGCGGAAAATGTCAGCGCCAGATAAACGTAGTCTTTGTGCCCCGGAAAATGGGCCGCGGGTCAGGGGTCTTGGGCTTTGTCCCGTTTCGCGATGTCTAATTAGGCGGGGAATATGTAAAAAATGCAGCATCCGGCTGTTAAATGGAAAAAAAAGGATTTACAAACCTGACAGCGGTGGGATTCGAACCCACGCCCTTTCGGACTGGTGCCTAAAACCAGCGCCTTAGACCGCTCGGCCACGCTGCCGCAACGAGGCGCCATCTGCCGCCCACAAAACAAAAGGCTCTCAACAAAAACAGTATTTAGTTTTCTAAATTTAGAACAATTCTATTCTAATTCTATCTCTCTGGTAATTGTGTTTGTAATAACACTCTCGCTAGTCTAATTTTTCAACGATAAATACTTCGCTTAATCAATAGTAAAAGGTCCCAATAGTTTTGCAAATCTGACTTTTGGTTAAACGTTTTAAAAGATGAATTAGCTGCACATGCAGGTTAAAAAAACAAAATTAAGCTTCAAATACAACAAAAATTAATCACTCTTCTTAGGTGTTAGGCAGACAGTTTATTAGACAGGTTCTTTAGCCACAAAAACCCATAAATATATGCCAATATAGAGCAACAAATGACACAATTAATAACCATTACTTTAAACCAGGTTTCTTTTATTATTGATTACCATGAGCAATCGTTAGAACCTTTGTTTCTGAACTGAAAAATATAAGTGATACACGTTAAAAATAAATTATAATTTTTAATTATTTATTTATTTATTTAATTATTTTGCACCTATTAGAAATTATATAAATAAATACTCAATATTTATTGGGTGTTTTATTAGCACCTGGTAAGGAGAGATAGATTAAATACTAAAAAAATCTTTGTTATTAGCACCTTGTGCCTAAAAATAAAAAAATAAAATAAAAAATACAAAAAGAAACTGTGACAGCGGTGGGATTCGAACCCACGCCCTTTCGGACTGGTGCCTAAAACCAGCGCCTTAGACCGCTCGGCCACGCTGCCTGTGAACAGCTTGTGTCAAAAGAGTAATTTGAAGATAGCGGATATAGAGCTCACACTCAATTCGATTGCTGGCATAATTTTGGGGTTGATTTCCGAGCAGTGTTGCCGAGGCATGTTCAAAAAAAGTAGTAAGAATAAAAGTAGGTAAATGAATGTAGTCAATGCATGGGCGCTTTGTTTAAAATAAAGCTAAATATGTTCTTTCTTCGAAAAAACACTAACCTATTTTTTTTTAAAGAACTAAATAAAATCATTTCACCCCATTTCCTTGGTATGAATTGCTTTCAGAGGATATAAGGCAGCTCGCAATGTCGTTTATTGTTTAGCATTTTAGTATTTTGCAAAGTTTACCATCCAGGTTATTTATATCCGCAATAGTTCAATTCGCCAAAAGGGCTATAACAAAGGCAAATACTTTACGAGCGACCTCGTCATCGAAGCGATTCTAATTCATTGACAAACGCATTTTGATTTTGCGATAATGAAAGTGGGGGGTGGTATTGCAATAGTGGTTTGGGACACCTTTGACTCAAACTTCCCCTATCCTTTGCCATTGACCCCCTTCTGAGGTCCTGAGGTCGCACCCCGCTTTGTTATTTTACGATTTTAGCATTTTGCTAAGTTCGCCAAAAACGAAAAAAATTGTATCTTGTTGTTATTGTTGCACGATTTGCATGCCCTTACACAGGGTATTTCAAATCTTAAACACATTACGCAACTTTAAATATAAAATCACACTAAATAGAATTATTTTTAAGAAGTTGAACAAAATAAGATATTTTATTTATGAAAGAGACGGGCAGTTCTTTCTTCAAATTATAAGGATATTATTAATTCTTTAGTTTTTTAAAGTTTCACATCTAAAAGTATACAAATATTTAAAGCATCTTAAACAATAATGTTTTAAGAATTTACTTTTAAAATTTTTTATAGTACCTACAATTGCTGTTGAACAACATTTTCATAATAATTACTTCTTCGCTTTCTTGACAAAATTAATTAACTCAATAAAAATGTCAAAAAAAAATTAAAATTAAAATAATAACATTTTTAAATTATTTTGTGGGCAAAGAAAAATGCAGCAAGGGTATTGAATATTTCCTGTTGCATTTCCGTGCTCTACCACCGTTTTTTATAGAATACAGCAGCAGAAGCTATAGATTTTATAGCCTTTTTATGTGGCCATAGTTTCGCTTTCGCACTGGCCTTTTACGAGCGTTTTATAACTTGTTTACATTAGGCGAGTGAGTTGGCGAACACCACCCGAAATGTCACGTAACGGAAGTGCTGGGAATCATTTTATGCAAAAATCTATCAAATCGCTGGCGGGCTGCATAAAAATCGTCGTAAAGCGATGGCTTGATTTAGAGCCATAGCAGCTGGCATTGACTATATATATATTGCTATAGATCCGAGATTGGAGCGGTGCAACGAAACGATTTCCCAAAACGATTCTGTGGAGAATCGCGGATTAAGTGGATTGGATATCGATCGAGCGGATCCGCTTTTAAAGCTGCCAATGGATGAGATGAGGCAGGTGAGTCGCACAGTGGCGACTGTGGTCCTGCTCCTGCTGATTTTACCCCGACCAGCAAAACTGCACATAGGGATAGATAAATCCGCGGAGCTTGAGAAGATTGAAAATAACATCGAATATACATTTGGATCCATGGAAAAGCAATTGGAAGCGGGCAACGAAATTGATTTAGAAGATTCCAACCTTCTATCTAAAGCATTTGTGAGCTAAGAACCCGTTGATAATTTCTTAAAACGTTTAAATTTTATTTTACTTTACTTTTTCCCGTTTTTTTATTAGGTGCAGTTAGGAAATTATGTGACAAAAGAGACTAAACGTAAAAGCAACATTACCATTAAGCTTCCCAGCGAAACAAAAAAACTAATTATGGATATCTTGTCAGGTTTATTATAATAAAGAACTAATTTTGACAAAATTGAAATAGTCTATGTCATTATATCATTATTATATTATGTTCCTTAAAAAAAATAGCAAACTTCACAAGACAAAGAGCTAAATAGCATCTGCGTTTCAAATCAAAGCTAAGTGCATCGAAATGATTTTCCAGTCCAGCCCTTTTTTTCTTTATTTACCTCAAGGTAGTTGTACGATGACAGTTCGTTTATTAGTATATCTTGCTCCCATACTCTTGTTTGCTCTACACATCCAGGGAAAAAATATCTTCTCGATGAAAAACATGGAAGAAAATAGCGAGGAAAACAGTCGGAAAATGGATAAACAGTTTGTGAGCTATTTACTTTCAGTATCTGAAGAGTTGAATTATCAAAAAAGCCATTTCACAGTCTAACTTAGAGAACCATGAAAAGAAGGTGTTCAACATCAAACCCGCTAATAACGCTCACATTCGATTCTCTTACTACCTTCCTAAGGGGAAAAATCTTTCGACTTCCACTGGCAAGAAGAGAAAGGAATCCGAGTATTTTCTTAATTTTGTTTTTAACAATAATCGAAAACCCAAAATGGCGCTGGATCGAAAAACCATCTCCAATAAACTGAAAATGCGACGAACTGGTAGACGATTTCTGCCCAATGGAATGCCCAATCCTTATAAATATTTTCCGCTAAAAGGCGAAGATATGTAAATATAAAAATCACTATCTATTGTTTGGTTTACTTTCTCAACCAGCCCTAAATGTTTACTCACTGATAATAAAAATAACTTTATACTACTTATTCATTAACAAAAAAACAAGCCCGATAAACAGATCGATAAAAACAATTTCACAGCAATTAAAAAAATTGGGAATCATAATTTGTTATCAATGCATGTTAGCGATTAAGAAAAAATTAAACTAAGACTTGAACTTCAACTTTTGAAGGGGAACTTTATGAAAAATACAAATTGTACGTTTGTAATTAAGGTATTTAATCAAATACCAGACACTTTTCAGATAATGGCCAAGACCTAGGAGACATAAAATTCCTTATCTTGTATTATTTTGGGTACTTTCCTTTCCTGACCACCTAAACTAGAGGAAATAATTGTTAAAAGTCATATAGGGTTTAAAATGGATCGATCACCAAGTCGGTCTTAGATAACAACTTTGGACTTTAGATAAATATGCAATTTTTTTTTGGTATAAAAGGCAAGCAAAACACGCAAATATCTTTAGTTCGATATCCAAACATGAAAATAATAGTAGTCAGTCTATTGTTGGCGATTTCCCTACTGGAACACCGTGCAGTCAGCGCCAAAAGTGTGCTAAATACTTTGGTAAGAAACAATTTCTTTTTTAATTAAAGAATTCAAAAATAAAACGAAATTTTTAAATATTTATGTTAAGGCCAACGAAATTGGTTTAGATGCCTCCGCTTTGGGTGATGAGTTGGGAGAGGAGGTTGGTCAATTTGGTCAAGAGGCTACCAAAACCGGCATTGCATATGGCAAGGCAGCGGTGGGTATAAAATAATTTAAGATTTAATTAAACAATGTAACAATTTTGTTCTTCTTAGGAAAAGGCCTCCTCGGGTTGGCAGCTTGGACGGGATGGCAATATTTTCGGTCACGAACTGGGAGATGAGGGCACTCTTTTAGGGCAAGAGGCCTCAAATAGCGCCATTAACTTCGGACACGAAGTCTCTCAAGAAGCGGTAAGATAAACCGATTCTCATGTTTATTAAAAGATATTTAACAAATTGTTATTTTTATTTTATAGGAACAAGCTGCCAGTGCCGAGCTTAGTTCCTTGCTAAGCCAATCCGCAGTAAGTTAATCTACACAGTTAAGGTAGATTCAATAACTGAAATAATATTTGTCTTTCGTTTACTACCTTAGAACTCCTCTGGCTTAACAAAGGTTTGTTTACTTTCCTAACCCTTTTTTAACATTTTAACTCAATTATGTAGATCCAATATCACATTTTTAAACATTTTACTATTTTTAGAAATCTGTCATCAAGCGAGAAATCGTGAGCAAAGAAAATCCTTCCGTTACCTGTGCTTGCACCTGTTCTAGTAATGGAGATGTCACCAAAATTGCAAATGCTGCCCATGATGTAGCTAAAGCTGCCGGAAATGTGGCCTCGAGTGTTGCCGGTGCCGCTGGAAATGTAGCTGGGGATGCTGCAAGTGCAGTTGGAACTGTTGCTCATGATGCTGCCGGAGTGGCCTCGAGTGTGGCTGGAAGTGTTGCAAGTGCTGCTGGAAATGTTGCCGGAGATGCAGCAAGTACTGCTGGAAGTGTTGCAAGTGCTGCTGGAAGTGTCGCTGGAAGTGTTGCAGGTGCTGTTGGAAATGTAGCTGGAAGTATTGCAAGTGCAGCTGGAAATGTGGCCGGAGATGCAGCTAATACTGCTGGAACTGTAGCTGGCGATGCAGCTAGTGCTGCAGGAAACATTGCCGGAGATGCAGCAAATGCTGTTGGTAGTGTTGCAAATGCTGCAGGAAATGCAGCTGGTAGTGTTGCAAATGCTGCCGGAAATGCAGCTGGAAGTGTTGCAAGTGCTGCTGGAAATATAGCTGGAAGTATTGCAAATACTGCTGGAAATGTAGCTGGAGATGCAGCAAATGCCGCTAGCAATGTTGCCGGAGATGCAGCTAACGCTGCTGGAAATATTGCTGGTGACGTGGGCAACGCTATTGGTGGTGTTGCAAATGCCGCTGGAAATGTTGCAGGTGATATTGGAAATGACGCAGGAAATATTGCCGGAGATATTGGAAAAACGGTCGGCACCATAGCTGGAGATGCAGCAAATACCGCTAGCAATGTTGCCGGAGATGCAGCTAACGCTGCTGGAAATATTGCTGGTGACGTGGGCAACGCTATTGGTGGTGTTGCAAATGCCGCCGGAAACATTGCAGGTGATATTGGAAATGCCGCTGGAAATATTGCCGGAGATATTGGAAAAACCGCCGGCAACATAGCTGGAGATGTAGCAAATGCTGCAGGCAATATATTCCACTCAATATTTTAGAGTGCACCTAAACATTTCAACTTCATAATTCTAATAAACGAACGAGCAAATTAATAAAACAGCCATTTTAAATTTACTTAAGCACTAGCTCTTTAAATTATCTAATTTAATATTTGTTTTGACTGCTGAACAATTACGCAGAGTTTATTTTTCTGGCTGCCTGATATTAGGACCCTCTTGAGACTGTCGTTTAACGATTATATAACCTGAGATATCGTATGGAATACCCTGAAATTCAGTCATGATTAGTAATGAATCAACCACAATCAAAATATGCCGACACTCAGCTAGGAATCATTAACCACTTAAGTGTGATTTGTTTTTATTTGCGGCGTCAAAGAAGTTGGTAGCTCCAACATAGTCTTTCCGATAAGAATGGCCTATAAATGCAGTGCGGCAACCAGAAGTGATTCAGTAATTCGTTGAGCTTACAAAAACCAACAATATGCAGTCTTCAACAATCTTAACCATTTTCGCCATTGTCCTGGCGGCCCAAAATACCAAAGCTGGCACTTTGAACTTTGGATCCCTAATGGGCGATGTGTCCCAAGTGGCCGTCGCTGGAGAGAAGGTCATTCACTAACTGGAAAATGCTGTAGCCAGTTCCCAATCGGATTTCGTCCAGCCAGCCACTCTGAATATACTTAGTGACATGGGAAACGCCCTGGGGGATCTGGCTGTAAGAAATATATTTAAAAATCATTTAGAAATGTTGTAATGTATTACTTTGTAGAACGCCATCACCAGTCTGAGAGTGGAAGATGTGCAACCCGAGGCTACCAATCTTTTGGGCGATGTCCTGGGTGGTGTTGGTTCCGGCCTTGGAGATTTGGCAGTAAGTTATAGGTTTGACATACATAGCCCCTGAAACCTTAACTTCTTTCCAACCTTCTTAGAATGCCATCACTAGTCTCAGCGTTCAAATGAAGACCGGTCCCCAGGCTCGCAGTCTTTCGGTAAGATAATAAATAATTAACATTAAATAATAGTTTTATTAAACTTAAAGGGATGTCTCTAAAAAGTTTTATGAAGAAATTATAAAATCGATTTGTAAAAAAATTTGAATTTAATTTATATAATCTTAAGCCATGGTAATCTATATATTTTTAACAAACATACAATTTTGAATATAATAATTAATAGTTTAATTAAGCTTTATTATCTAAATACCCAATACCATAACAAATTTACCTTTTCCCCCAGTCTGATGGCGCTTCAATCATAGCCAATGGAGGAGTAAGTTTATCCGGCAAAGATATTTAAAAACTTTGTTAAACATACTAAAAATTACAATTAATTTACAGGCTGTCAGTGCCAAAACAATTGCCGCAGCTGCCTATTCCGTCGCCCCCTATATAAGGAAGCTAAATGCTGGCCTAGGCGATCTGGCTGTAAGTGGTACTTAAGAACTGTTGCTAATCTGATGAGTAATGAACAATTTCCCCCCTCGCAGAATGCCATCAGCAGCCTCTGAACAACTTTCAAGCAGTTCAATTAACAAATAAATATTCAATCGCATAAAAAGCTTAGTGAGTGCTTCTTTTGTGTTCCAATTTAGCAAGAGTTCATCAACAAGTTGGGCCTCAATTAGTTGTGTTGTTTTGAAATCCAAGAACTGTAAATAAGGTCGGGTTCCCAATCGAAAATGCGTGCATCTGCTCGTAGTTCTAGATCCCTCGATCCCCAAAGGGGGTTCGTTTCAAAAAATGGAAAAGGGGTCAAATGATACGGGAATCGAAGTCGAAACACGTGATTGCCAACAACATTAGGGGATCAAATTTCCAGAAAATAAAAACCCTTAGGAGATGGAGGAAGCGCCATACACACATGCCGGGTTTTGAATAATTTTTATTATGACAAGTAGGTTGCTTTTGTTCCTCAAGCCACGAGAAGTGGGTCATCTTGAATGGGAATGGGAAGTATATGGGGAATTCAGGGACAAGGTACGAGGGTCACTCCACTCCGGAAGACATTCTCTGGGCTCCTCGTCGTCGTAATTCTTGTGTTTCCCGAGGCCTGCCATTAAGTTGCTTTATCGAGCGGCAAATTTCGATTCTTCCTCCTCCGCTTACACACGATCTACTCTCCCCCAAGAAAAGTCGTGCCAGCCATCTACAGACCTGTAATTATGAAAATTAACAAACATTTTGGTAATTAATTTCGGCAACCCTTTGGTCGCCTTCTAGCTTCATGGCACCCATAATCCCGCATCAATTAAAATGCACAGGCCGTAATCTCCACCCACAGAACATGACTGACTGGGGTGCGTGAGACCACTGGCTGAATACATTTTTTAATAGACGAAAATTGACGGGTATAGTTATCAGGGAACAGAAGCTTTAAACACGTTTTGAGCTCGATTAATTGTATTTAAAAATCCGAAGTTATTTAAAAATGTTGGACAAACTACAAGGATCTTAGCTCTAATGCTAAACTATTTTTTTTTAACTCTAAAGCATTATTCGTCGTTAGTAATAAATCCAATAGTTTAGTGAAGAAGAATGTATTTTTTGAATTTTATTTTTAAATCCAATTTCGTATTCATAATATTTTGTTCTTAAACTTATATGTAAATAATTAAATAAAAATGTATATTTTCTACTTATGGCAAACCTTAACCTAATAATCATAATAACCATTAAAAAGTTGTACTACTTTAATTACTACTTTGTCAATTGTGGTATACCCGTCAAAGGGTATAAATATGATAATAGAAAACGTTTTTAATAATTTGTGACACCTTAGTCCGTCAGCGTTTGGGCCATTAATTGGCGGTTTGACAGCTGAAGACCTCAAAGCGGAATCCACGGATCGCAGTCGGTTGTTACCAGTTGTGTGGGTGTGCTTCGGTAATTGAATCACACAGCCCGCTTTACTTGCTCACACACACTTTCGGCTGCAAGTTTACATAAGGGATATGTGAAATGGATCCGGAGGGGGGGATAAAATTGAGGGGCGTAGAATCAAGAGGGGGGCCATCCTGCCAGCCAATTGTGCAAATCGAGTTGGCCCGCCAACCGGTTTCGGCCAGTTTCTATGTTAGTGGTCAAGGTCTAAGGAGCAGCGGACCTGCGGACGGACTCCGCTGAGGAGCGGCCAAATGAATGCTGCCAAAGCGGAATAAACAATAACAGCAGGCCCAGAGAAGAGCTGCAAAAGGCCAGGCGAAAATAAAACCACAACGAGCGAAAAACAAAACCAAAAGGAGTCACGAGAATTGCATAAACAATGTATGTACAATGTCTGACAGAGTACGTATATAAATCGAGTTATATATAGCTGGGGGTACGAGTCGGCTGAAAGTTGAGAGGGTGCCTCATGTCGAGATGTAACAAATTTATATAACCCCGAAGGGGAGAGGAACCCCAAAAACGTTGGAATTTTAAAATTTAAAACACTACCCTTGAAAAATGTACCATAAGGACAAAGAAAATTTTGTAAACGGACTAGATTAAAATGCGAATACGATTCTGTTTTCAGATCCTTCCTAATGTTTTCTCTTATTGGTATGAATATTAAATATAATTAATTGATGGAATAATTTTTTGAACGAACAATGCATTATATTTATTAAAATGTTCTTGAACTTGTCATAAAATTATTTTTGCTAATTATAAAAACTGTATTATATAAAATAACAATTAGATGTAAATATAAAAACGAATTACTGAAATTTAATTTTCAAAAGATTTTTATATAAATTTAAACTTAAAACTTTTTAAAAAGATTTTTAATCTTACAAAAAATATAATAAGAGATAAGTATAAGATGTAAATAAATATTTTTTTTCTAACAATTCCCATAGTTTTAAGCCATCCCACCGGCAACCTTGAAATGATAATTTTCCCAAGATCAAGAGTGAACCACCCTGACTTTCGACGCAAGGGGCACGCACATGCATCATGCAACATGCAACAGCGGCGTGATTGCAATGCAGCAAACAAAAAAAAAAGCTGCAATATGCATCGAAGTGGCATCTAAACAGGCATATGTACGTGCCTCGTTAAAAAACTGCATTTACTCCGGGCTGCAATGGTGTTTGTGTGTCAAAAAGGGTTGCCAAACCACTTTTAGAGCCTTATGTACACAATACAAAATGCACACAGGACAGGAGAAATCCCTATAATGAACATTTTTTTTCAGCCGCAAAACTCGTTTTCGATTACGTCGGCGCAGTCTTCACCCCTCGGTCTCTGAAAAATTTGCAGAGAGAGAGAAGCCAAAGGTTGTCTTGTCGACACTTGACCAAAACCAAAAGTAAATGCCCAACAGGGGTCTTTAAGTGAGATCCGAATCACAAATTTGGCCAACTATCAATGCGCGTCCACGATTCAAATTAACCGAATGCAGCATTAATCGCCACAGTTTCAGCCTGTCAACTGTCACTCCCGAATAAAAACTTTCGGGCCTTTGTCTATAATTTGCGACACTTCACACGCACATCAGCAACAGCTTCATTAAAATTAATTAATGCTTAGGCACACATAGAAACCTGTGCACTAAGAAAAATCCGCTGACTAAAAGAAATGTATTCAATTGATTTTAAGTGAGACAATCAGCAACTGCTTTATTAAAATGAAATAAAATTGAAATTTACTATTTAAATTTGTGAAAGCTTAGGTTGTTTAAATTATATTCTTAAAAAAGAAAGGATAAGCAAAAATGTCATTATCAAGTTTATTTTAGCAGAGCAAATCTCAAATGAATCAAAAGAAAAACTTTGGTAATTTATTTATTTTATTTATTTAAATTTCTAATTATGAAAACTGCCTGTTATATCATTTTTTAAGTGTAAAAACGCATAGAAACGCCTCTAGGACTAAAGACCCAAAAGGGGCAGGGGATCGACATCATTAAGCTCGTATCAGCTTACTAGGTTTTTCCCGCTGCGGCAGCCGAAAAAATAATGCACAAATTAAATTAAATGAAGTGAGTGTGAAAATGCTGCAGGTGGAAAAAGGGGAGGGAGATGGCTCTAGGGGAGGGGCGGGGCGGCTAGCTCAAATGGAAAGCCACAGAGTGCAAATGTTAAACAACCGACGGGGCCTGGTCAAAAGGAAACACGCTCAAGTGATTTCCATGCCACCAACAGACCCCAGATATACCACATATATATATACAGTATAGTCACCTGTATTTTCTCGTACCCTCGTGTCTGCCTGTTGATGGTGAATCAAGATAAGCAAATTGTTGCCGAAAAATAGAGGCACAAAGGAAGCGATTTGGACGTTTTAATGATGATAGAGCATGACACAGAATAAATGAAAATGAAGTGTGGAAAAAATTCATTTAAATTGAGGGGTAAACAGAACCAGACAGCAAAAGTAACAGCTAAGCGTTGGTGAAAAGAGTTTTGGGAGGTGAAAATTGGAGTGAGTAACTCTTGATTAATGACTGCAAGGATTATTTTGGTTTATTTCGGAAGACACTTTCAATGACAGGCACAATTGTACCCACCAGCAAACTGAATAATTCTGTCAGGAAGCGAATCAACAAGGTGTATCGTCTATTTCTTTTCTTTATAAAAATATCATTCTAGGGGTATTTGAAAATATACGAATATATATATTTTTTCCAAATACTTTTACTATTAAGCTTTAAACACTGTCTATATAATCATTAAATCGTTTATTGGCATACTGTTTTAAATTATCTCGATGCTTATCTTAACCAAACAACAATGAAATTAATTCTTATTTTTAGTACAAGTCATCTACAAAAATACAAAATTTATGACCGTCTGCCATATCTTCTCATATATTCCGATTATATGTAAATATCATCACTTCAAGAGAAAAATTAATTTTATATCTCTTTTTATATAATTTAGGGTACCAGCTGCAAGGAATATTAAACACGATCCTAAAATTAAGCGAATGGGCACCGCATCCTCTACGCATGTCCTCACACAATTTATACAGACACATGCATTTGCAAGCTGCTCCTGATGTTTGTCATAAGCTAAAGTTTCGACAATTATGATAATTCTGTTTTGTGCTCCGTTTCCCCCAACTTCACCCCACTTTTCCTCACCTTTGTCATCGTCGTCTGCCAGTCAAATTGTCGTTGTCATAAAAATATATGTCCAAAATATGAGTAAACGTCAAGTGTGTGCAAATGGCAGTATATGAAAAAATATTTATATGCAGAGTTACACTTAACAATTTACTCAAGTTAAAATCTTTATTCAAATATTTTCTTAAAGTGCATATGTTTCTGTAGAAATTTAAAGTCTTCCTAGTAACTTAATTCCCATTCTTATAGTATCAAATTAATCTTTATTTAATTAAAATACCTTTAACAATAAATTGATATAGGATGACATGTTTTTTATTTCAGTGCACCCATGCTTACAATCATATATATAAAGATATGTATTTACTATGCTGTGAATGCATCTTTCTTGGCTTTTTTTTTGTGGTCGGTCAACCTGTTTCACCTGAGCGAGCTTCCCCGAAACCCCGAAAATACAAAAGCCCTGATGAGTGAACAGTGGGAAGGGTTCATTATCATCATGGTTATTA